AAATTGTGTAGCAGAGTTTGAACAAATTAAAAAATAGTTATAATAATATATCATTATTATTAATACATCTTTTTAGTGTTTCTAATTTTCTACAAGATTTTCAAATACAAAAGTAAACAAAAAAAGTTAATACATAATATGTAATAATATATATAATATTCATATAGCATAATATAATCGAAATTACCCCTAATATATAATATAATTGTAACTTGTAGGATTCTTATTAATATATTTAGGACACCGGCGGATTAAAAAATAATTTTTGATATATTTAGTACACGTCCAAATAGAAAAAAGCAGACTGAAAACTAATTATCCTATTATTCTGTACAATTCCTTTCCCAGTGCAAACTTGATACAATGTATTTCTTATGTTTAATCGTCACCTTGTTCTACACTTTAATTAAATACTTCATACTAAAGTTTCGTGCAACATTTTCTTTATCCGTTTTGCGATAGTTAAGATTAATCACATTTTTCGTATACAAGTAGAACGTAAAAATGATTTATACGATTCCAGTGTGTGTACTGTTACAAAAACCAAGAAAGTGTGTTTTAAAAATCACAAAGTCCGGTTCTCGAGAGATAAGATAGAGTGTACCTTAATCATTCGAGATTTCGTTCCTTTGTCACAAAACTTGTATTTGATTTCTTGAAATGCCATGAAAAATGTCATAAAACAATATGAAATACAAAAATTATTTGTATTGAGTTTTTGGAACCACGAAATTCGATATATTTTCAATGCTCTTAAAAGGAGGAATTATATACTACTAATTAAAATGTATAACATTACAGAGTAATGTACTTAAAAAAATATTATTTTCATAGTACTATCAAACGCAAACATTTTGTTAGACTAATCATTCGTCTTCCAATATTTTGACCGGAAATATGGTTACAAATAATACATTTGAATTTTCAAAAACTCCAAACAACGTATAGAGTGATATCAGCACAGTGGCAATGTTCGCTCGACACAAAGAGGATACTTTAGAGAAACTTGTAATCAGTGAATCACTACGAAAAAAGATAAGAAAGTACAGGAAACCCCTGTATGACACGGCATTCCTACAACGTGTTTCGCTGCACGTTGGAAATATTGGGAACATCCCTATGAAAACACATTTTCACTGGAAGAAGTTACCTTTGTATTATAAAATTTATAATGAATTGACTTTAAGAGAATAAGAACAATAGAAATAACTCATTTCTTGAGGAACGTACAGTATCGAGATAAGAATACTGCGGGAGGAGAAAGAATACTACATAATAAGATAAAGATACATTGCAACAAAGAGAACGATGAGTAGTTTAACACTATTAGTCTAACACATTTAGATGTCAAAAGACACCTTTTGAAATTTTAACTTATAACTGTTTTCTCAGTTTAATCATTTTTCCTCAATTGAATTTTGGACATTTCCTATAGTTAATTTTATAATCGTTATTGGAGAAGTCGAAAAGTCAATTCACAAGAAAGAAAAATTTGCACTTTTTCAAGGAGTAGTTTCACCCCTTTAAAGGAAAATTCGGCACGAAAAAAATTACAATGTATTACGCTAGACTTACTCTACTTTCACACAGAATATCATTATTTTTTGAATCTCCTAGTTCGATATCTGTCCTCGTAAGTTGAGCATTACATCGTTTTTTTTGCTGTCACTGATTTCTCATGTTCCCTAATTCTTTTATTTTCCATGAGACAAAAAATAAGAGTTAACATGGTAGTAATCATTTGGAACATGTTATTTCCTATTATTCATGTTATACGAGAAATATTTCGTGCGGCACGATGCTTTATAACGCAAGTTCATACAATGCGTAACATATTAACCGCGTAATACAGGAGTTTACTGTACCTTATAGTGCAATGTCTCAAGGACCGGTACAAGTGAGGGTGTTCTACGTACGCCAACTACGAGAAAGTGTGAGGCAATCTAGACTAGACAAAGAGTCCTTCGTCAACATCGTCGATACTCGCAAATGACTTGAAGATGTTGCAGTTGCAGCGAGAGACGAGCACTTGAAGCTAAGAACACTTTTCTTGGTCGACTTTTTCAAGAAAAGACACCGATCCACTGGGGATGAGGATCAATACCGGGGGATCACTTGTACATTTTTTGTG